AGAATTGGAACCAGGGACCCCTGGAAACACGTCCATCAGATGCCCGGTTTCCACACAGGCAGAGGTGAGGCCCCAGCACAGCTGGCCATGGGCGCTGGACTCGGGTGGGCTTGTCAGCTGACCGCTCACTGGACAGGCCCAAGCTGAGAGCGTGCTCTTGTGGCTTCCAGCCCCGAAAGGCCGGAATGTAGAGAGCTTTGCTCTGAGCGGCCGGCTCCTACACTAGCAGCCTGAGTTTTTTCTACACAGTCTGGTTTCTCTGGAGACCACCTTTCTTGCCGCCATAAAAGCTAGAGGCTGGCTGTCACAAACAGCAGGGTTGTCCCAGGACCGCCTGTTGAAGAGACTGTTCTGTTGAGAGGCCTTGGCTCCCAGTTCTGTCCCACTGATCTAAGTGGCTGTCCTTATGCTAGTACCATGCCCTTTAGATGAATATTCTTTTTTTTTTTTTTTTTAATTTTTGAGAGAGAAAGAGTACAAGCAGCAGAGGGGCAGAGAGAGAGAGTGAGGGAGACAGAGAATCCAAAGCAGGCTCCAGGCTCTGAGCTGTCAGCAGAGAGCCCGATGCGGGGCTCAAACTCACGAACCGTGAGATCATGACCTCAGCCGAAGTCGGACGCTTAACCGACTGAGCCACCCAGGTGCCCCATAGATGAATATTCTTTTAAAAGATCTTAAAAGGCATGCAAATATGGGTTTCTGAGGCTGTGTATCACATGGTGTCTGACACATAGTGGTGGTAGTTTGTCATAACATTGCAGAAGGGGGGAATTTGGGAAGATGCTGGAGAGTGGAATTGCTTGGCTGTGGGACACAAGGGAGGTGACGTCTGAAGTCCAGGGAGCGAGCAAGGTGCAAGTCTGCTTCCGCTGCTCCCTGCCCGATCCCAGGAGGTCGCCCTGCACCCTGGCTGGGGAAGGGCCCTGGTTCCGGCCCAGGACCGTATCTGGCTGTGATTAGCTTGGGGAGGGGGTTCCACACGCTGTCGGGGACGCCAGGAGAATTCTGTGGAGGGCGGTGCCCTCCCCCCCAGGGGCTGACCATTACATGTCCCTGTGGCTGCTGACGTTTGGAGCTGAGGAGAACGATGTGCTCAGAGCATCTCTGTTTCTCCAGGCCCTGCCTTTCTCTGTGGCTCAGGGATCCCTTCAGGCCACCCTCACCTCCTCAGGCCTCGCCTCCCTTCAGAATGCTTCTCACAGGGGACCTCGTACGTCTGTGCACGGGGGGAGGCCATCAGATTCCCTTCCAGCTGTCCTGTCCTGTGCATCCTCTGTTCTGTTGTCACTGCACATCAGGGCCCAGATCCTGCTCTTGGCTCAGCTGTCCCTCAGCCCGGCCTCCCCTCGGTGCTCTGCCCCCCGCGGGCACAGATCACGGTCAAGCCCCCCACCCCCGACAGCCCGATGTCTCTCCTGTGGCGCTTTTCCTCCTGGCCACCTCTCCAAAGCTGTTACGGACACTCCGGGCCTCCCCACCTGCCCTCACCGCCCTCAACAGCCTCCACCAGCCCCGAGGTGCTGAGGCCGCCGCGTCGGACGGGTTGACCTCCTCCTTCCTGAGAAGCTTTCTTCCCCCAGCCCCATTCTGCCTCCTCCACCTCTTCCCACTCCGTGCTCCTCTGGTGGGCATTCTGGCTCATTCAGTGACTTCAGTGACCACGCAGATGGTGGCTTCCAAGTTCACATCCCAGCTCACGTGAGGTGTCCGAGGGCCGGCCGTGCAGCTGCACCGCCGGGCAGAGAGGGCAGCCAAGGGCGGGCAGGTGGCGGCCAGGACACCGAGGACAGGACTCAGCCGTTGTCCTCGGCAGAAAGAGAGCGTCTTGGGGTCGTGAGGACAGGTGTCACCGTGTCCTTTCAGACCCAGCATGCTCACAACCGGGCTTCCCCGCCCATTTCTCCTCATCCCAGTGACCGGTGCCCCCAGCTGCTGGTCACCGTGCTGGGGTGGCTGACACCCCCGTGCACGGCCCAGATGACTAGCCTAGTCTGCCTTCTCCCCTCCTGCCCGGTCCACACTGCAGCCTGCAGAGCCTTTCCAACAGGAAGATGGGTTCGCGCTGTCGGCCCTTCCCCATCCCCTGCGTGACTTCGGGGTGCCCCGTCAGGTGAAGGTCAGACTCTGGGCTAGTCGGCTCTGTGGGCGCCCGCGGCCCCCAGCTGTCCACCCCGAGCCCTGCCCGAAGGCGGTCCCCTCATGACACGGCCTCAGGGGGCCTCCCTACCTGGTTGGTACGGGACATTGCAGTGTCCATGCCCTCCTGGAGCAGACATCCAGTGGGGGAGAAGACAAGACGGCCACCTTGTAATGGAGCCCGGCCAGGCGGGCAGCAGCCCACGTTGCCGACCGCACCACACGAAGGCCTCAGGGAGCCGACTCAGGGTGGGGCGGTGGGAGGTGCGGGGCCGGCCGGAGCAGGAGCTGGTGACCCGAGCATGGGTCTCTTAGGCCATGTTAAGCCCACGGGCTGAGAGTCTTGGGAAGTGGCTGTGGCAGGTTGGCCTGGGTGGCGGAACCAGGGCCTCCTTCGAGAAGCTCACTCTGCCTGCCCCGAGGACAGTGCTCCGGGGCAGGGAGACCAGCAGGGCCCACAGCCAGGAGCCACGGCTCAGAGTCAGCAGGTCCGAGGGGGCCCTTCCTGCTCTCTCAGTCGTGAGAAGCCTCACGGGGCGTGTGTCCTGCACACAATGTCGGTGTGCGTGGAGTTCATTCTGTTTTATGAGTTCACCCGGCGCCTGTGTGCCCGGCTCGTTGCAGGAGGTGCCAGCCCACTCCTGGCCCGGCGGGGGCAGCCACGTGCCCAGTTGTCCCCAGGGTCACCGTGTGTGCAGCACGGGATTCGGCCCGGTAAACAGGAGGTGTCACCTTTAACCTACTGGACATGTGTGTATAACTTAACATTTCAAACAAGTACGTGGCTGAGGAGGAGCTGTTGGTAACGGTGGGGGGGCTGGGGGGG